ATTGGCCTTATTGAGGGTCACGAGAGGTATATTTGAGGGTGGTCTGGATAATGTAGGCAGAAATGTTCAGGAAGAGGATGAAGAAGAAGCAGGCGCTGATTGGGGGGAGGACTTGGAATTTCTGGATGTGAAAAACATGCCCAATGCAGATATCAATGTGGTGGAGGATGAAGAAATGCACGAAGAAAATGAAGAGGGAGGAGGGACCTTGAGGATCTTGATCTTCCACCCATGACTGATACTTCAGACACTGCCAGCCATGCCAATTCTTCGGTATTTATGCCCCGACTCCTGGAAGCCGTAACTCAATTTGGACACAAAAAACATCTATAGCTGCTGAACATGCTGCAGCTGGCAATTTTGATGTTGCTATGCGCCTGCTAAGCAGGCAGCTTGGTATGAAGAACTTTGCTCTTTGAGACCATTATTTCTTGAAGTGAACATGGGCAGCCAGAGTCATTCATGCCTCTCTTCGGCTCCAGTGATGTCAGTGGCAGTGTCAAGGGGATGGAATGAAATAGCAAGTGCACGTGGCCCGCCTGCCCTTGGGTTCAAATTCTCTCAGCTGGCAGAGAAGCTTAAAGCCGGCTACAAAGCCTTTAATATGAAGAAATACCGGAGGCTTACAACTTTTTCTGGCATTCTCCATATCACCTTTGATGTTGTTGACTCAAGAGAGAGGTTGATGAAGTAAAGGATTTAATTAACAAAGCAAAAATATGTTCTGGGTCTGAAGATGGAGCTCAAAAAAGATGGAAATGAAAGACGATCTGGTTCGCCAGCAGGAGCTAGCGGCCTATTTCACCACTTTGACCTTCCGTTAAATCAGTAGAATAGCATTGATGAATGCCATGGAAGCATGCTTTAAGACTGGTAATTACAGTGCAGCCACTAACTTGCGAGGCGATACTTTCAGACCAATCCCACCGTTGAAAGCCAAATAAAAAAGGGTAGGCAAATCTTGCAAGCGAGTGAGAACAAGAACGACGCATACCAGTGAATTATGATTTTAGAGATCCTTTCGTAGTTTGTGGAGCAACATATGAGCCTAATACAGAGGACAAAGGATGTGGCATGCCCTTACTGCAGTTCAAGGTTTGTTCATCCCAGGAAGGACAGCTTTGTTCTGTTTGTGAACTTGCGGAAAATGGTTCTGATGCATCGGATTGCTCTGTTCTCATTCTCAGTTAAGATAAAACTAGTCCATGCATCCTTTCAACTAACATGGAGGCATGCTATGCTAGTTGTTTATCTTCACTACCAGCATTTACTCTTCAAAACTTTAACTGCTCCATCACATTTGTTGTGCATACGTTTATTTCATTATTGCCAGGTTTATAGTATCTCCCTCTTTTTGGCTTTTGATTTAATGATTTTCAGTTTAAAAACAACTCGAATTTTGGTTTAGCCTATTGCTATTTAAAAGGGATCCTTTTTCTTTATTTTGACTTTAACACAATCGAATTTCCCAAATTCATCGATTAAAGTGGGTGTGCAAAATTACCTGAAACCCAAACCGATCATGCTAATCGACCGAATTTTTCGAGTACCAGATATTGGGCGAGATTCGGGTAGTGGTTTGTGAGGTAAAGAGTAAAGACTGTCAACATTTGAGCCTGCTCCAGTATTTGGGCCCTAGATGTCCTTTGAAACGGGGCTTTTGTACTCGGCCTTATATTTGAGCTCAAGTCCGCATGCCACGTAATATGCCACATACAGAAATCCAAGGAACGTGATAGGATTAGTTTAGAGGTGAGAGATAACGCGTAAAAGCTTTAAATGCTGATTGTTCTTAGGTTAGTGAAAAGCGGAAGTAGGCACGTGACGGAGAGTCCTGTAACCTTTCTTGAGACAATTATGTCATGTAACGGCCAATTCGCCAATAATATGCTTAAAGGGAAACCTATATCCCACTCTATCAATTCCACTCTCATCATGTCCCTCACATGCATGCCCACCCTTTCCCTTTGGACCCACCTATCGATGGGACCATACATACCATTTTCGTTTATGTCACATGTGAACGTATATCTATACTTTCTTATTACTAATTAATTTTTAATTATTATTAACCATTGTTATGACTTATGAACATAAGATTAGAAGCATATCATATTTCTGTTCTGTTGTTGTTGACTTGTTAGCCCCATATTGAATTTTTCAACCCAACAAAAGACATAATCATCCCGATGATTATACATATTATGACTTAATTATAACAATGCCAATCTGTCAATATGCATCATCTTTGACCAGAGATAGATGTGTACAAAGTCTCAAATTTATTCTAACTTTCTTCTTTTGAGCCATGCACATCAAAAACCTTTGACTCCATCATGTTTTGTTTATAATTGCCTATATTATTACTCACCCCTGGCCCTTTCTCCTTTTTCTATACCAATAACAAATACTAAACACCCCCTTCCCCTCTTTTCAATTATCCAACTGAAACTTCTACAATTTATTCCAAATCTTCTCATTTAAATTATAAAATCTATCACATTCACAACTTAAATTGTTTATCCTTTTGTTTTTATCATTAAGTTTTTGCCTTATTCACAACATATATATTATAAATGTATTACAAGCTTAGCAACATTAACAAATAAATATTTGATGAAAAGAACACGGTTGTCGCCAAAATCCCCACCTATATCGATAGCTTTGGTTATTTATATAGTATAAAGACAATCTCACTATTTAGATATGTTTTTTTAAGATAAAACCGAGTGAATCCTTAGAGACACGATTTAAATACGGAGTATACTAATAAGAATCTGCTACCAACAACACAATTTAAATTAGTAATTAACGGGCAGCTATTAAAAAAAAAAATAGTAATACCGAGCGGCTAGCGAAAAGAATGGAGTGATTGTGTAGGGGTAGATCCAAGCATGAGAAAGTGAAGCTCAAGGCTCAAGAGTGAAAGACAGCGGCATGGACAAACAATTATTAAAAACTAGCTCCTACACATCCATCATTCACCGCCCAATTATTATTAATTATCTATTTCTTCTACCCAGTTTTAACATCACCCATTAATCTTTCTACTTTCTTAATCACATCCACATTAAAATTCTACTCCCTCCTTTCACTAAATTTTAGAGATACCTACTCCTCTACATCTTGCCTAGCCTTATCCCTTTTTTTTTTTTTTCCCCTTTTCCGCTCTCTTTTTAATTGTTCCATAAATTAATGTCCACGTAAATCATAAAATTTTCTATCTCATACTGATACTTTATCATAAACAACATACAATTATTTGCATAAATTGATAAAATAATTAAGAGAATTAATTAGAAGATAGAGAGGCAACATCATCGTACCTTGGAAGAAGGTTAATGTATGGTTATAATCCAACAAAAGGCAACTTACGTTAGCTGGTAGCACAAATCATGGGGAATTAAGCCCAAATCATCAAAGTTAGGAGCTCCATGTTCGCTATAAACAAATAAATTGATATTGATTAGAGATAGAAACAAAGAAGCAGCAGCAAGAGTCAACACTACAGTAAAGATAAAGAGCGTCATACTCATGCCTCGAGCCCCTAATCTCCTAATTACAATTAGTATTCAACGTCGCACTTTATATTACATTAGTAAAATTAAGTCACTCAGTGATTAATATATACACTTTTTGTCAAGACTAATCATATCATTATTCTAACCGTTAATTAATTAACAAAAAAAAAAAAAAAAGGGAAGGGCAATGGTCTGCGGTACGGCGAGATGAAATGCGCCGGAGTCCGTACCTGTATAATAAAATTACTGGTTTCCAATTATTACTGCCGCGGTTTCACGTGATTGTTTGATTAAAAAGGGGGGGGTCTCTTACTATTACTATTCCTAATGCTCTGTCCTTAGCCGAGTAGCTTTGGGTTAGGTAGGGTGCCGAGAAAGTCATTTTCCTAGCCAGGTATAATTTTATGGACTCGAGCCTGCCTATCTAGCTTAATAAATAGCAAAACAAAAGCAAACCTCTTTATAATCATACAATTACATTTAATTAACGGACCAACATCAGCCACAAAAATTTAATTATTACTGCAAATTTGTATAATTATGTTAAAACTTGACATTTGACAACTACTTTTTTTATTTTAAATAAATGGATATTTAAAGTTATTATTATTGAGTAGAGATTAGAAATGAGGTGGCTTTATTTACCAAAAGCAAGCGTGTAATAGTGACACAAAATTCAACAATTGTGAAATTTGTTTGGGTTATTTTAGTCGGAACGGTAATAGTAATAGGAGGTGTTACATACAGTACCATTGAATTCAACAATATGAATTATGATTTAAGCAACCTTAGTCTTCAATCAAGCGTGAATTAAGAAAAAAAGTTGTCAGTCAAATCACACTGAAAAAATGTGGAAAACAAAATAATAAATGTGTCATGTGTGTGAGGTCAGAGTCATGAATTTCAATTTGAATAATCTTATATTAGGTTACGTATTTTTTTTTATATTTTTTTTAATAACTTTTGTAAGCTGCTTCTTTTAATTAAACTCATAAATAAGTCGGTGCAAACACTTTGCCTGCATTATTATTAGTCAAGAATTTGATAGCAGTTGTTTTCACAAATTAACTCAAATTAAATGTAACATCAAAAAATGTTGACCACTTAAGGATATATATAAAATCACATTGTTATCAACTAATAATGGGATTGACTTGATCCATTTCTGATTTTTACGGTTAATTAATTTAATCAAATTCATAATTACGCCACGTCCAAAGTCAATGATAAATAATTACACAAAGAATACGAGGGAGGGCATTGACAAGGAAAATACAAACGAGAAATTCGAAAATTACAAAATTTGTTAAGAAACTCGTGGAAGTAAATCTAGAAGAGAGGTCATGTAATATATAATACACGTGTCGTGGGAATTAGGTGTCTGTGATATTGAAAAATGAAGGAAATGTGACGCTGTCTGTATATTTTAATTATGAGTAGATTGCTTCGTAGATTAAAAATGAGGAAAATCAATCTTAATTACAGGAACGGTCAGAAAAAGGTACCAGCGGGTTTTCCGGTGCAAAGGACGAATAAGGAAAAGCTGATGCGATGACACGTGGACTGATTAAAGCCGTTGGATGAGGAAGGAAGGGCTGAGATTGTAATCTTTATTTGACAGATTCATTGAAACTGGAAGAGAACTGTAGAGAATTGCCCAGGGAGAGATTCTTAATAGTTTTCTTTCCTTCAAACACACTCCCTCTCTCTATTTCTCTCTCTTATTCCCACTCACCCACGCACACAGACACTTTCTTTTCTGTCTCAAAAATACAACAAAAAACCGGTAGTTAATAAGAGAGAGAGTGTGTGTTTACGAAAGGGAAAATGGGTTGGTTTTGTCTTAAATGAGGATTGTGTTGCAGAGTGACGGTGCAGTTACCATGGCGGCTTTGCAGAGCTCTAATTCCGTGTTATTATTACTTGGAACAACGAAAGAAAGCTAAGTCAAGCAACCATCTTCTCTCACTATTTTACCCTAAAAATAATCAATAATTTTCATCAAAAAGCTGCAAATAACCACTCACAGAGCGTCAGAATCAGACAAAATCAGGTAAAAACAACAACTTACAGTCTCTATTAAAAACCCAGCTAGGTAGATGATAAAATTATCCACAATTCCAACCCAGATAAAATAATTCATAGCCGCACTCATCCTGGTACTAAGTTATTGCTATGGATTTTTGGTCTAAATTGAGGTTAGTTTCAACTTGTTGGTGCAAGAAATGGCAGGGTGGTTCTACTTAGGAGGAAGAGAAGGACAAAGCAGTAAACAAGAAGAAGAAGAAGAGAAAGAAGAAAGCCTTTATTTGTACAGATCAAACGAGGAGATCTACAACAAAGGATTTGAAATATGGCCACAGTATCATCATCAGCAACAACAAAATATGAACAATTATGTCTCGTTTGGAGTGGGTCCTAGTCGAAGAAACTTCATCAACGTTTCTGATGACTCACCAAGATCGGGTTTTACTGTGACAAGACAAGGTGGAGGAGGAGTAGGAGGAGGAATGAACTGCCAAGATTGTGGTAACCAAGCAAAGAAAGACTGTGTTCATATGAGATGCAGAACTTGCTGTAAGAGCCGAGGGTTTCAGTGCCAAACTCACGTCAAGAGTACTTGGGTTCCTGCTGCTAAAAGGCGAGAGAGGCAGCACCAACTATCAGCTTTGCAACGACAACACCAGCAGCAACAACAACAACAACAAAATAATCAACAAGAAGAACAACTACAGTTTCGAGGGGAGACTCCTAAAAGGCAGAGAGAGAATCAAGGTGATACTTCCTCTCTTGCCTGCACTAGCACTACTACTCTTTTACCCATTACCACCACAGCTAAAGTCTAGTTGTAGTTTACAATACAAACAAACGCTACCATGGAAAAAAAAATATACAACCATGATTCAAGTCCTTATAAATCTTTTAAAGGTATACGGTGAAGTAATTTCAAAGAATCCTATTGCTGGATAGTCTTTGAATTGGTAAGATCATGAGGAATTTCAAAGAATATCTTGCTTTTATGTACGTCTACCACCCAACAATACCGTATCATTTGCGTGTTGGCAAGTCTACCTCTTCATAGTTGCCCACCCACCTCATTTTACTTTTCTTCCTTTTTTCATCTTTTCCATTCTTCTACTGTTTCTTAGTAAAACTGACGAAAGAAGCTCCATAAATTTAGCTTAAAAAATCGTCTTCTATTTCTCTCTTTAAATTCTAACAAGTCTTTGTTTATACTAAACTGTTTGACTTAGCTTTGATTTGCTCTAATTTTATTGGATGGTGAGATTAGGGTTGGAACTGAGTCAATTTCCGTCTGAAGTTAATTCTCCAGCAGTCTTCCGTTGTGTAAGAGTAAGCGCCATGGAGGATCCAGAAGAGCAGTACGCGTATCAAACGGCTGTTAACATTGGAGGACATCTTTTCAAGGGAATTCTCTACGATCAAGGCCCTGAAAATCGTTACACCACTGGAGGTGAGAGCTCTCAGCAATTGAATCTTATCACGGCACCTCCTACAGTGACTACCACGACAACAACACCCGCCACTACCAACCCTTCAGCTGCCACTTTGATTGATCCATCATTTTACCCAGCTCCACTCAATGCTTTCATGGCTGGTACGCAATTCTTTCCTCCACCCCCAAGGTCTTAATAGGAGGACTAGCTGCTTCTACTTGAGCTTTTAAAGAAGCTTCATTTGTCATGCACCAAATCTAAATTGTTGTTTTATGTGGTTCTAGTAGATCTTTAACACCCAATGAGGTATAAAGCACATATATGAAAAAGATATGGAGAATGCATATGATATGGGGATGTTGGTTTTGTTCGAATTTCAATTGAGATTTTCTTGGTTAAATTTTTTATATTATCGATGACACAATATTGGCTTTCGTACTGAGTGCAGCTGTGATATAGCATGTGGATGTGTGCTTTTTATTTCTTTTTAGTTTTTTTTTTTTCTGGATTGATATTGAACTTTCTTTCTGGTTGGTGTTGAACTCGAAGCCGCTTTTTCCCGTTTATCCGTTTGCTTGCCGGATGAAAATGGGACGAGATAGGTTTCGTGTTTGGTTAAGCAAAGAATTTATAAAAAACCTTTTTTAATCTCTAAATAGTCTCTAGACTCTGGAGAAAGAATAAAAAGAAGCTAGCGCATGGACATCTTTTGCTAGCCTTTCTTGCATCGCCAAATGGCTTATTCGTCATTCAAAAGTGAAACCAAAAACATGTGAATTAACTTCTCTTCTCTCTCTTTCTGCGCCTCCCTGTACAACTGTACATACATCTAAATACATACGAAAACAGATAACTTGAGCCCCCCGTATAGTTTTATTAACTACTTGTCTGCAAGACGATAAAACTTATAGCTACTAGAATAGACGTGCATGGATGTGACCCTCTTATAGAACGGAAAGTGCTGCCAACAGCTCATTAGCACACAATGTTTAAATGCTTCTGCAATTATGTGCATGTGATTTATGTTATATGTAGACCAGAACTGATGATATATGTATATTTATGGGTTAAGGTACGTATATTTCAATAGGATTAAAGATGGTTCCATAGACTTCTAGCTCTAGTACAATATCGGAAAGAAACAGAAGAGTCTGTGAAACTTCCTCTAGATCTGTAATGGTCTGACTCATATCATGTGCTCTCGTCTTCTCTCCATTAAAACGCTACACTTTTAACAGGACCATACACACTAGCGCCACTATTTTTTCTCTACTTTAGTTATATATATGTCATTCTTCTGGTAGATAATAGGGGAACAAAAACTTGAATTATTTATAGGTAAACCTTTAGTGGCTACCCTTATTACTAATAGCAGGGATTCGAACTCAGTATCTCTTGAGCAATATATTCAAGAGTCCTAAGCGAAGCGGTAAACTACCTAAGGTAGTTTATCTATTATTATATCTGTATTGTGGAATTGTTTGGATAAGATATTAAGTCTATTAGGGAATGAGGTTTTAAAGAGAGTTGAATATTGCCACAACCTTGACTTTGAGATTGTGAATTTTGAGTTGTAGAATGATGACTTCAATCACATGAATCATTTCATCATCCAATGCATGGTTCTTGGTTATAAATTTTCATGGAAAAATTAATTCCTATTTTAATAATAGGGAAATGTTAGTGATAGGGAAAAGAGCAATGCTAGCAATTATAGAATTTGAGCACTATAGACCTACATATATGATAGAAATCAGACAAGGATGGAGCTATGATGTTTATTTATTTATTTATTTAAATGCTGTTATATTAAACTAATTAATCTACCCAAAAATCATCATTATGTATACCGTCCAATGTTTGTTGAGAATAATTGCATAATACCTGCTGTACCTGCTGTATGGAGTATGAAACCATAAATGGAGGAACTAAAAGATTCTCTTGCAGAGTGGTTTGCACTATATTTTTTATGATGCTTTAATTTCATAACACATGCATTCTTTTATCATAAGCCATGAAAAATATAGGGTTAATCATTCACAGTGTTCAAGAACATTTGATTTTCTTTCTAACCATGCCGTCACCCAGGAATTGTTAGACAATTTAGACATTTGATAGGAAAGCAGAGACAAGGTACATTACATCCAGGTAGTGGAAGTACTTGATTGAGACTTGACAATTGAGTAATATTGTAGACAATTTTAGACATTTGATACGAAAGTAGGGACAATACATTATATATCGTCAAGGATAGGTTCAGATTAAGGTCATGGTATATATATATATATATATATATATATATATATATTACATACAGCTTTATCATATGTGTTTCAAATTACAATATTGAAAATTTTCCTAGCACTTTCCATTAATTATTCCACCTCAAGTTTACGATTATCTGTCATTCAACAGTAAGGAGCTTTACTTTTATTTTCCATCTATTTGATCATCATTGTGATGGTGACTATGGTTTATATGATGATGATTTTCATGCTGTGCAAATCTCATAAAATACATATATCCGTTTGACAGCCAAATAGTAACTATACAGAAAACTCTAGTCTGTTTGAGGGGCCAAATCTTAGCAAGCAGAAATGTGATTTACAATTGACGTCATGTGAAATAAGAATGTGGGGTTTCTCTTTTGTGATCACGGTTTCTTTGAAATTGGAAATTTGATTTCAGTCTTGTGCGCACAGTAAATCTGCATATGCCATTTTGAATCAGACATATAACTAGGATTCTAACGGGTGGTGTTGCATGCTTTCCATTTTCTTTGCGCTGGACTTGTTAGTTGATCAAAGTTTATTATTTAATTATGTAGTAAAGCTTCTTGCGTGCCTCTATATATATATATATACCATCATTTCTGCATATATATCATCATTTCTGCATATATATATGCAGAAATGATGGTTGTTGTTATGTTTCATTACTGTTTTCCTCCTGATAAAAAACAAGTGCTGTAACTAAGTTGAAATTCCATATGCATGGTTAAATTGCTATCAGCTTAATTTCTAACCATGCTGATTTCTATACATATCCACTTGACAAACTTAAAAATCCGTACATTATATTAACCCAGAAACTCAGGCTGCTTAAACATTAATTGTTCTTTGCCCTCTTAAATTGCTTTTTGCCTACAGAATTGGTGCATAATTTGTGCTTTACAAACATCTACGAGAGTAGGAAAGGGGATTGAGTATTTCTCAAATACAAGCTTCAAGCTAAGTTTCTTCAATTAAGATAAACTATTTCGAAAACAATTATTAAGTAATGATCTGGTAAGAAACTTAGGATTAGATGGAATAGTATAACATAATAAGGGTTCCATTGATCAAGGAAATGGTAGGGGAAAATTGTAGTAGGAAGAAGAGCAGCGCGCAGTGGTGATCACGTGTGTTGTTGCCGATGTGATGGGCTTCAATTTTACACCCTCTTAAAATATTGCCATGTTGAGAATTATTGGTTACTTCTGTCCAAATATTCTCAGTAAGAATGAAATTGGCCCTCATCATTCTAAGTTCCATGGACATAGAGGATATGAATAGCTACTACTTGAACAATAATGCAATTGTGTAGCCCCACTAACACAATTAAAAATAAAACTCAGAGGCTTAGCCTTGGCTTTTTCTTTCACAAATATTTTTCTTTAACTTCAATACATTTAATTATCATTAAATCATATATTGAAAAAGATACAACTGTAATACTACAACGAGCTTCCTAATTAGAATTTCGATATACGCAACACAAACAACGTCATTGGGTTTGTATATTTATATGTGTAAGTAAACGAAATCCATATTAAGTGCTGCAATACGTAATTGCATATACATGAAAAAGCCCATTTGAATTGGCAAAATATAGAAATGAATGAATGAACTCTTAGTTTGGCAAAACGACATCCCATGATTGGTTGGTCCCCCAACATCCTAATATGTAGTAAAAAAGCCAAACCATCCAGAAGAATTGCTAGGGTTTCTTAAATTCTTACAATAGTCAGTCTAGGTTTTATGGAAATATACATAGCGTAATAGGTGGTGGTCAGCCGCATGCCCATCTATTGTAAGTCACTTCTTCTTGGTATTGTTGCCTAGCTAGCTACAAACAAAGTGGTCCAAATTCAATTTGTTGCTGCTGGCTGCTCCTCCTGCTTCTGCAAACTGAATGTATCGTGGCTATAATAAGTCGTGGTTTTCAATGTCCAAAAACATGCACTGCTTCGCCTTCTGGCACGAAAGATTATCACTGCAGGTTGCAGCCACCCACGGCACCTTCGCCAAAATCTTCATAATTTCCCTATAGGGTATTGCAGTCATTGATGACCTATTCATTATTTACACTAGCTTTTGCCTAAAACTTAAAAAAAAGAGACATGTTTCCTTGAGCGGCACTTGAGCTTGAACGACGAAAAATGTCGTATATCACATTCTGCCTCTACTGATTCATTTATATACCATAATTCTCGCAAGGTTTGTGGCAGAAACATAAATATATGGGCTTAATCTTGTAACTAATTATTTGTTTTTCGCTAGACGGATCTCAGTACAAATTATGAGCCAATAATACCGTGCATGGCGGAATTATTAGAGCTTGCCAGTATAAAGTTCATCACAACTTTCTATTCTTTAATCGTAAGGAAGATGAAATGGATCTTTTTCATCTTTTGTTGTTTTTGAAAGAGAAGGAAAAGGATCTATTTCTTTTTCATTGATTCCAATATATGGTTTGAGTTGAACTCCGACGTCTAAAGCGTTTAGACTTTAGACCCCGTTAAACGGTGCGTTTCAAGAAGTTAGAATTTTAGCGCCGAAAGTAAAAACGACGCCGTTGGGACATTTAAAATTTAAAACTAGTCTATTTAATCACGTGCGATGAAAAGGACAGCACAGCAGACAGTATACATACCCGCCAGATGGGGTCAACCGCAAAAACATTAAGGTTAAGAAATAATGAAAATGAAATAAATACATAAACTACGATTCTGAAAAATCGATCGTCCTGTGATTCTTTCCGACTACCGTCGGTTGTAAATATTAAATTATACGCACATTCATTGTATCAATAGATTTGTATAATCACATATCAAAAAATGGTGGTTGGAGAATGTTGGCCGACGATGGATCTGCTACGATCGGAGCCGATGCAATTGGTACAATTGATCATTCCTATCGAATTAGCTCATCGCTCAATCACGTATCTCGGCGAACTTGGCCAATTTCAGTTTAAAGACGTAAGCTTCCTTTGATTTTTTTTTTGGTTTCAAAATCAATATCATAAGTTGCATATATGGTTGTTACTTAATAAATAGGCATGCAAAGATGAACTTTGTGGAATATTTTACTCTACAAATTAATGTATTATTTTAACAATTATTAGTTTTTAGCTCTTTTAGAAATTTGAATGAAATTCTGTGGAACCTGGACACAAATTTAAATTAACTTGATTTGTTTCTGGGTTTCCGTTATGTTAGAGATTTAGTTCTTTAACTAATTTTTAAGTTAATTTGAATATTTACATCGAGTTTATTTTCTTATATTCCAGCTCAATGCTGAAAAAAGCCCGTTCCAGCGGACCTACGCAGCTCAGGTGCGTTTTGTCGATCTAGCATTGCATCTTCTTATAAGTTATTAGTTGTACGGGTATATCCTTACTTTAAGGTTTCATTCTCATACAATGTATCTCATCAAATCACATGTTTTGGCTATTAGGAGATAACAAAATGTTTTTATTTGATTTTGATGGTAAACTTTAGAAAGGTATGTGGTCATCGAGTCATTCAATATAATTTTTAGAAAATGATCAATCTGAAATATATTGAGGACTACTGAGGAATTTTACGAAGGAAAAGAAGTCTATGATACGTAGGCATTCATTTTTAAGGAAGTTTGATGTGGTTCATGGAGTTAAATATGCATTGGAGATGACAGCATTGTCATTCTTTACTTGGATTTTGTTTGTTATTATCCCAAAAATTTCAGTTAAAATTGTAAATGTATACTGTATAATTGTATGTCTGTAGCTTTATGTTTGCACATATTATTTTATTATGCAGATGAAGAGATGTGGGGAAATGGCTCGCAAACTACGTTTTTTCAGGGAACAAATGTCAAAGGCAGGTTTGTTTCCCTCAACAAAGTCTGTAACAAGTGATGATATTGATTTCGACAACTTGGAGGTATGTTTATCCCTTCTATTTTATAGCTTGTCAAGCTTTTGATGTGTTACATGTAAATGAACTTCTTGGGGATCTGGGTGTGGCTAGGTAAAACTTGGAGAACTTGAAGCTGAACTGATAGAGATGAATGCAAATGACGAGAAGTTGCAAGAGACTTACAATGAACTGTTAGAGTATAAGCTTGTTATGCAGAAGGTATGATTGTTATTCCACTTTGGCATTACTGTTTAGCAGCACTTACTTGTTGTAATAAATAATTTTATGATCTTATATTATCATCTATTTCTCTCACTCTTAACTCTTTTTTTTTTTTTTTTCCTTAAGATTCTCATTTCCATGTTACTGAAATCTCTTTGTAATTTAAGCTGGAGAAAGTGGATATCTATATTTTGCCCCTTGTTAAATATGTCACTTAGCATGACATCCTTTTTGTTCTAGAAAATCATCTTAGTTGTGAAGTCAATGTACCAGTGTTTTCTTGTTTCAGGCTGGTGAGTTTTTTTCTTCAGCTCAAGGCAGAGCTGCAGCTCAGCAGAGAGAACTTGAAGCACATCACAGTGGTGAAGGATCCATTGACAGTCCATTGTTATTGGAGCAAGTAAAGTTATATGGCTTATAATTTTCATATAGTATCTTCTGACATCTTCTGTTTTTCCTTTTGATGATGCTAATGGAGTTGCTTTTGTGTAGGAAATGATAACTGATCCATTAAAGCAAGTTAAGTTGGGTTTTGTCAGTGGCCTTGTTCCTCGCGAAAAATCAATGGCTTTTGAGAGAATATTATTTCGTGCAACAAGGGGTAATGTGTTTTTGAAGCAATCTGTGGTTGAAGATTCTGTCACTGATCCTGTGTCTGGGGAGAAGGTTAGCCCTTGAATGTCTGGAATCATTCCAATGAAGCCTTACTCTGAAGTTCAATTATATGAAGTCAACTACATGAGTTAGTTTTGGTGTTTTATTATATATAGGACAAAAACATTTTTAAATCACAGGCAGAGATATTTCGATCCATGTCTTGTAGATTTTAAACTTCTTGGAAGGCCGTAATCTGTGTGCGTGAGCTTGTGATTGTGCGTGTGCGTGTCTTTTACAAGTGTGCTTTATTTTTCTTTCTTTGGGTTGCCACAATAAACCATGATGGAATGTAGTCTGCTAGCTTTTATTTCTTTTTATCTATACATATTTCTCTGCTTTATATTGATAGATTTTAAATACTATTGTTTGAGTCTTTACTTATGAGCTTTTGTTTTGCAGTCAAATGGTTATTTCACATGGTATTAGAGTTAGAATTTTAAACTCCCACATGTCACGTGCCTACATATCTTTTGGTTTGCTTTATCAATGTTTGAGCCTAGATCCACCTTATACATGAGGGTGTCAAATAAAGTTTGAGTATTGTTGTTGAACTCTTGGCTTAAAATTTGTGTAAGTGGTTGCTTCATATATTTGAAGGTATTGCAGGAGATATTATATTTCATTCTTATTCTTCTTTTGTGTTTCTTTATATGTATTTATGCCAACTGATAACTTCCGCTTATTTGTCCGAGAAACTTATAATTTGAATTACAGGTCGAGAAAAATGTATTTGTTGTCTTTTACTCTGGTGAAAGAGCAAAGAACAAAATTCTGAAAATATGTGATGCTTTTGGAGCAAACCATTATCCATTTACAGAGGACCTGGGAAAACAATTCCAGGCTATTACAGATGTATGCATTACTTCTTTTCTGGGATTTTTCTTCTTATTCAAGTGAATTACTTTTGTTTTGATCTTAAAAAAATTGAGTTACTCCTAATTGCTTCTAACCTACACTATGGATGCATTTAGCATTTGGAACCAGTATGATGATGGAAGTATATAGATACAATAGTTGTCCCTAATGGGTCAAACCTAAGAAGCTATGAAAGTTCTTGCAGAAAAATTAAGTTAAATGTATACTATGTTTCTGAGTATATATTATTGGGAGTTGTTATGGTTTTCATGCTGGTTTGAACAAGATGATTATTTTGCTGGTGTAATTGAAGAAAGGAAAGTCCTATTCTGAAGTTGATAAATGAAGTTTCTCTTTACTTGTTTCAAGTTCTTTTAACTTGATAAAGTTGTTATTAGGAAGTTAGCACTGAAATGTTTAGAAAGATAGATTGGATTAAATGAGTGGCTTGTGAAACTGGAAGTATAGAAGCTTGATTGACCAACTTGTCGCGGAAAACTCTTGTTTATACAAATGATATATACCTTGAAGCAAGTTTCAAAATTTCAAAATTGTTTTCTGGAACTTGCTCATAATTTGTAGTGCACTGTAATTTTTACCTATATACCATTTGTCTAGGTTGAGTAATTTATCTGGGTGCAGTTGCATGTGTGATTGTATCTTTTTTCTTGTTGAGTTATGAAGTCATCAATTAGTCCCAATGCAACTGAACTTCATAACCACTCTTATCGCTAGGTCTCTGGAAGACTTTCAGAACTGAAGACTACCATAGATGTTGGACAGGTGCATCGGAGCAATCTGTTGCGGACCATTGGCTATCAATTTGAGCGATGGAACTTCCTGGTTAGTTTTAATTTCCTTGATTCCATATTCCTCAGTCATTTTTGCTTAAACATTTACATCTATCTGCTGTCTTCATTTTATGCTGTATGCAAACATTTACATTTCTGGCTGTTGGGATTAATCATTGTGAAGTTGAGTGGAGTGTTGACTGTTTTTCAGTCAGTGAACTTTGTTTCTGTTGACTTATGTAGGTAAAGAAGGAAAAATCGATTTACCACACTTTAAATATGCTCAGTATCGATGTGACAAAGAAGTGTCTTGTTGCAGAAGGCTGGTGTCCTGTTTCTGCAACAAATCAGGTTCCTTTACTTCATTTTCTTGTTTTTTTTAATTGAATTAAAATATATATATATATATTTCCTGTGCTGATGTCCCATGGGAATCAAATTTCAGTACATTTTATTGTTGATTAGATTGTTCATTTACCTTGGGCTTGAGTTTTGCAGATTCAGAATGCACTGCAGTGGGCAACCGCTGACACCAACTCACAAATTGGGACCATAATCCAGGTTCTACAAGCAAAAGAATCCCCGCCAACCTATTTCCGGACAAACAAATTTACTTGTGCTTTTCAAGAAATTGTAGATGCATATGGGTGAGTCACTTCAAGAGAACTATTTTGCTTACTCTAAGTTACAGAAAGTTGTTTGCAGAAAGTTTTTGTTTTCAGAATTATTTATGCAAATGTTTGTATTAACTTTGACTTTTACATACATTTGACATGTCTGTTTCATTTGGTTTGGAATTTGCTTCCCATTGTTATGATGATCTGATATTCCTTATCATATTGTCATGTAGAACATTTTGCCACATGCATATGGTCTTAGAAATGTGCAGAGTTCCTCTCTCTTGTGCCATTCTTTTAGGGACCTTTTTTTAGAAGTAACAAAAGGGACGATTATTTCCTAAAACGAAAAAAAAAGTGGTACGAAATAGTGAACAGCTGTCTACAAAAACTAGGAACAATCTAAAGAAGCACAGATCTGGACAATATAAAATGAACAGTTCACAGAAAAGCTGTAAAAAACTTTAGACTCCAAACATTATCACGACATTAAGCCAAAACTCCTTCCAAGTTCTAGTCTATAAAGGAAAAATAAAAATATATCCTGAAATGTTTTAGAGGTTGAAGCCCAAAGAGAAGCTAGTTATCATACCTTGTCCAATAGATCATTAACATCATCCTCACAACTATGTTTAGAAATCTTTTTATCTGTGTCTTGCTAAATCACCCAAAAATTGGTCATTTCTGCAGAACCCACAAAACTTTGGCCTATCATATTTTTCTTATAAAATTCTTGAAGATAGGAACTTACCTTCTTTGTATGGAATGGTGCTCTGGATCGTTGAGAATGAGGTCTAAAAGTATCAGTTATCAATATATAATTAAAAAAATAAAGCGTGGACCAAGCAATAGTATAATTGCCGCTAACTTTTCTCTGTAGTTCTTGTCATAGCAAATTGTTTTTATATGCTGATGCATGCAGCTGTGATAGTTCAATCCAACTAATTCCATTTTGGGTGATGTTTGTCTGTAAAATTATTTTAACCTGCATTATTGAATTTAGCTGTTTGGTCATTAGCTTCCCATGTCTGGAGCAGCTAGAAGCAAATCTTTTTCCCTATTTCAGGAACTTTTGTTTTTCATCCGTATTTAACTTACCATTGGGTAGATATAGTCATTTCTTGAAAGATCTGCATTAATATGAATTTATTGCAGGGTTGCGAAGTATCAGGAAGCAAATCCTGGTGTATACACAGTTGTCACGTTTCCTTTTCTTTTTGCCGTTATGTTTGGTGACTGGGGCCACGGTATATGTTTGCTGCTGGCTACATTATATTTCATAATCATGGAAAAGAAGTTTTCCTTTCAGGTCAACACATGGCTTCCTTGTGTTTGAAGTAAGATTGTGTAGTTTATCTATGTTTTCAGGTTAGTTGAATTTCCTTTATTGTTTGATAACAGAAGCTTGGAGACATCGTTGAAATGACTTTTGGTGGCCGCTATGTTATTATGATGATGGCATTGTTCTCAATCTACACAGGATTGATCTATAATGAATTCTTTTCTGTCCCATTTGAGCTATTTGGGCCTTCTGCCTATGATTGTAGTGATCTTTCCTGCAGGTATTGAATCAGTGCAATAGCTAATCTATACAGGCATAATTTGTTACTTCATTTAAGTCATCCACACTTGTTCTTTTTGTCACAGGGATGCTTCTACAACAGGTCTAATAAAGGTGCGTGCCACTTACCCATTTGGTGTTGATCCCAAATGGCATGGTACTCGAAGTGAGCTACCATTTCTTAACTCACTGAAGATGAAGATGTCAATTTTATTGGGGGTAGCTCAGATGAATCTGGGGATTGTATTAAGCTACTTCAATGCAAAATTCTTTGGAAATGATGTAAATATTCGGTAAGCTATCTATATTTGGCTATAAGATACTTGCATGTGTGCATGCATTAATGTTAATTAATTTCTTTTAGAGCACTTAGCAAAATGATTATGCTTTCTTTTCAATCTGTCGTTCTGAGGAAGTAAAGAGTTATTTTTGAGTCAATGTATACATATCTTGCATGTGCATCCTGAAATGCATGGAGATATTTCTCTTTTGAGACAATGTTTTGCTTTTGTTGATCATTCTTGGAAAAAAAAAATTGTGTTTATGTAATATGCTATAATAGCATGATTATATCCTAAAATGTAACTAATTAACCATGGATTGTTGTAGGCATCAATTTGTTCCCCAGATGATATTTCTAAATAGCTTGTTTGGCTATCTATCTCTTCTCATAATTGTGAAATGGTGCACTGGATCTAAAGCTGATCTCTATCATGTGATGATATACATGTTTCTGAGTCCCACTGATGATCTGGGTGAAAATCAGCTTTTTTTTGGCCAAAAATTTCTCCAGGTTTTGTAATTTCTTTCTTGATTATGTGGAAATATTCTCATACATGTTATGAAATACAGTGGTACTTACGTGTTCATGTTTTTTTATTAGATTGTGCTGCTACTATTGGCTCTTGTTGCAGTACCCTGGATGCTGTTTCCAAAGCCATTTCTCTTGAAGAAGCAGCATGAGGAAGTATGCTAAAAAAAATTCTATTTTTTGTCACCATTTATATTGTTTTTCAGATTTTGCTTTTTTTTTTTTTTTTTCCATCTTTTAATATCCCTATATTCCTGTTTTATTTTCCCAGAGGCATCAAGGTCAGTCGTATGGACGACTCGATAGTACTGATGACCCTCTTGAAATGGAGCTTCATGATCCCCATGGGCATGATGAATTTGAATTCAGCGAGGTCTTTGTGCACCAACTTATACATACTATAGAGTTTGTGCTCGGTGCAGTGTCTAATACAGCTTCATACCTAAGGTTATGGGCTCTCAGGTATGTTGAAAAACAACTTTGGAATCATTTCATGTGGCTTCTCAGCTGCAATAGAAATCTTAAACACGAATTGGCATCTAAAATAAAAGCTTAGTTACTTATTAGTTGTGGACTTGTGGTTTTGAGGTGTTCTCTGTTATGGTACGACATACTGAAATATATGAAGGTGAGGCTTGCTACATGTGATATCTTGAAATATTATGATCGTGGACACAAGAAGAGATAATTTCATGGTAGAAAACAACTTTTTTGTTAGAAACCTGAAATTATGTTTTGCATCTCACCATACCAGATAAGATTTGCATCAAGAAATTTTTAATGGGCTTTGTAATTTTTACATTAATTAAATGTTGATTTTCTGGTTCATTTTTTTTTTCTTTGTACAGTCTGGCCCATTCTGAGTTGTCCAGTGTATTTTTCGACAAGGTTTTACTACTTGCTTGGGGGTAAGTTATTTTTTTGACTCTATCCATGTTTTTGCTATGCTGGAAAGAGCTCGAGATCTCCAATGGCAACTGATTAATCTATTGTGTACAACTGCAGGTTCAACAATGTCATTATTCTTATTATTGGTATAATTGTATTTATATGTGCAACTGTTGGTGTGCTCTTAGTAATGGAAACTCTAAGTGCATTTCTACATGCTTTGCGACTTCACTGGGTGGAGTTCCAAAACAAGTTCTACGAGGGAGATGGTTACAAATTCTGCCCATTTTCATTTGCTCTACTTAGTGAGGAAGATGAATGATTACCTGCTTGAAGCTAGGGTATAGGCTAGAAGATAGGAAAACATTACGATTATGCCGATTTGTGATTTGTGGAGATATAGAAAGTGGAAATCATTTTAATTTTTAAATAGAGATTTTAAAGAATATTAACGGATCAAGTTGATAGCCTCTAGAGGTACAGCCCCTTTGCAGTTGCATGTGGCGAGTGTTTGTGAAATAACAAGGCTTGCAGATGAGGTTCATGAAATTTGTGGCTGGGTATATTCTGGTCCAACGGCATCTGCAGGTAACTGAGGAGAAAATATAGATGGTTGGCATGTTAATTCTGTTTTTTTTTTTTTTGGTTATCTGTTTGAAATATTTGTCTTAAGGATTACGGGAAAAAGACAAGAAAGAAAAGTATCGCAATATGTATTATGATCGTAGAAAATGGAAATTATATCCTTTTTTATGTAAAAAAAAAAAAAAAAAAATATCTGAGAAACTGGATGTTGTGATTTTAATATACAATGATCTTTCACTTAAATAGTTCAAACTATCACATTAGTGCATTATTGTGGAATAGATTTTATTTCTGCTTAGGTTGGAAATAGCTGAAAATGTATTTTGATGGAAAGAGAGCATGAGATTCTATCAAAATAATTGATATAAGTATATAACAATGATTAATTTAGGATATCAATAAAGCTACGGCCTACGGACATTGAAGGTTTACACTGAAATTTTGCATTGAACGACGTGTCACCTAAATTAGATGTAGTCATTTAGTACATTAATAACTATTTTGCGAATGAACAGTCGTCTATCAAATATGAATGAGCGTTCATGATTATTGGACGACTATTCATTTTAATTTTTAGATGGATTTCCGTCTATGCAAAGATAACAATGAACTCTCATTCATAGTTTAAATTAAAACAAAAATTATGGATGTCCGTCCATATATTAAGGGTGGACGTCCACATGCAGGGACTATTTGATATAACTGGGATTGGCACTGAACTTGATGAGGCGAGGTTTGAAGTAGAACGTTGTTTTGGATAAATTCTTCATTCTTGTTTGTTTTCACTCACTTTGACTGTCTATTTCTTTAGTGAAAACCACATACTAGGATCACCACAGTACAGGATGAATCTCTTTTCTTTTCTGTTAAATAATATTTATCCCCAGCAATATGAATAGGAGAGCTTTTGAATATGAGAAGGCGGTCAATGAGGAGCTCGCTGAACATAGGCAAATAATGGAGAAAAACCTCATTTCCATGGCTCGTGAGATTGAGAAATTACAAGCAGAATTGCTGAATGCAGAGAGGAGAGGACGAAGACTTGGTAAACTATAGCTTTCATTTTTAATATTAATAAATGATGTGTACTTTTAAAGCTTTAGGGTGTTGCCGTATTAGGACTCTTTTAGTTTAATGAACCTCCAGAAAGTAAGTTATTTTGAAGTTCTTTTATAATCATATAGGTGGTAGGGGTTATGAATGTTGAATGGAAGCCCTGACATGAGATGTGCTAATGCTGGTGGTGCATTTGACGACAGCTTATGGTGGTGCTTGGGGAATTTATGATAAGCATGGCTCTGCCCGATGCTGATCTCTTATGAAGTTGTTTTCAGATGCTCTGTTGAATTTGTATGTCTTGGTTTTAGCTTCTAGGTGATTGAGCAAGTTGTTTTCAGATGCTCTGTTGAATTTGTATGTCTTGGTTTTAGCTTCTAGGTGATTGAGCGTACGGATTCTTGTAGAGTGAGACAAAAGAAGATGCTGAACTTGTACAGAGTACTGATCAGTTTAATGCTTCAAATTGTGCTTGTGGCATTTTGGCATTCAACAACATAATGCTTTTGCCCTAGTAAAAATCTTCTAGTGATTGGCTGCATCTTAATTCTCATTGTGATATTACCTTCGATGTTTATGTTATGAATCCCTTCAAAACGTATCGAAACTAGTCTCTGTGCATGCCTGTTGATGCGTGATTTTGGCACCAACCAAACGCACGTGTGAAATGCTGAGTTGGCCCAGAAGACACATGTGGATGAGAGAGTGAGAGTAAAAGCAATGGAAACAGTGTTTAAAGTGGTTCGGATGCTTAAGGAAGCAAATCCTACGTCCACTGATTTTGTATTAATAAGAGTGGTCAGGTCGCGTTCAGCGAGCTGACTTACAAATGATTACACGAGAGAGAGAGAATGCTATTTTTCTTTAGAGAGATTAGCTAATCTCCAAAATGAGAGAGGAACTCTTAATTTATAGTGGGATGGGTTAAGGTTATGATTACTAAATCTGTGAGTTAGTGGGATTATCCGTGCAAATCCTTCTTTATGTCTCATTGCCCACCTTCTAGAGCGATTTATGCGATTTGGTGCAGGGATTAGACACGTGGAATCACTCTAGCTCCTGGCTGGTCTGACTCGCACCCACTGCCGTTCATGTCATTGTGTGACGTGGCTGCCTTTGACTGGCTGCGGACCTACCTAAGCTCTGACTTTTTATGCTGATTGGGTTTTGCGTCAGCCCTACTTTTTCAAGCATAATAGAAGTCCCCTAGTTTTTAAGGTTTGAGGATCGAACCTTGGAAATTATAATTCATGTTGTGACTAGACGCCTTCGAGGAAATTCTGGAGATTCCGACCTGTTTGAAAAGAGGTTGAGACTGCGCTTTTGTGCGTGCGACCTGATTGTCTTGCTTAAGGATGAACGACCTGATCTCAGACCATACCAGTGCTTTGATTTCGATTTTTCGAAGTTCACGACCTGATTATACTTGGAATTCTCCTCAGGACAAGGGATTGGGTTGTTCGAAACTGAATACTTGTCTAGAGTCACGTCGCTTCGCGACCAATAGGGTAGAGTCAACGAGTCACATCGCTTCATGATTGGCCAGACGAAGAGTGTTCTACGTAACGATCTCTTCAGATGTCACCTGTTGCATTTTTGTAATGGATACATTTAATGAAACACCTTCTGCTCTGACAAACGTGTCCTATGCGCAATAAATGCCAGCCATGCACATTAAATGCGTGACATGCTGAAATAATATCCCCTATCAGAACATTAAATGCAGATTGGGGCGCATTTAATGCGGAAGAGAACGTGATGTCGCTTGAGTTTTTCAACGGAGAAGGACGACGATTTGGTTTTCTTGGAGCATGATGGTCACCCTTCCCCGCGAATCTGCGACACGTGGTCGCGATCAATGGTGAGATACATTTTTTTGCCCAAACATCGTTTGATTTCAGGAAAACCAAGCGCCAGTTCTTTTTGCTATAAAACCCAGGTTCATTTCAGGCAATGTCACCATACTCATCTTTTCAAAGAGAGCAAGAAACTTTTGCAAACTTGGATTCTTTGCCTTCCAAACCAGTGCGTACCTAATATTCGAAGCAGAAAGATTCATCTTCATATTACGAGAGGTAAGGATCACTTTCTGTTTTTATTTCTTACTCCCAGTAGTTAATAAATGATCTCAGTCTACCAGTAGTTGATCGGAGACGAAATGTTCTTGCTCGGTTTGAGGCATGAATGGCAGCTTGAAACATTCTGTTAGGGTTTTTCTAGGATTTAAGAAGGGAGGTGTTTGTTTTCCTCCACATCATCGTACGAAATAGTGTACGAGCACTAAAAGATTCCCTGCTTGTTGCTTTTGCAGACTACAGTAGAATTGACCCCTCAACGACCAGATCTGAGGAAGGGACCAGTTCGTCTACGTAGGATGCTCCTGCGAGCCCCATTAGAGAGATCTTCTCGGTACATACTGAGGATGAGCTCGAAAGGGTGATAGACCAATACGCTATCCGCGTGGAGGTCTTTCGTGATAGGACGTGCATAGCTCGGTATCCGTCACATGGGTTGGCTACGATCTCTGAGGAAATCTTCAAGGGTGGGGCGTTGATCCCTTTCCACCCTTTTGTCAAGTCGGTCCTGGATCATTTCAGGATCGCGCTGATGTAACTCACGCCGAACGAGTACATGATTGCCATTGCCATGTACATTGCGTGTCGTGAGAACGGGTTGGGCGAGCTAACTGCGGTAGAGCTCGGTTGCTCGTATATCCTAAAAAAGAGCAAAGACAAGGATTCCTATTACTTGTCCAGGTGACCTACTATAGCAGCGAGGATACACAGTTATCCTAGCAATGCGGGGGCCTATGAGATGAAGTTTTTCTTCTTTCGTTACGACGACCTTTGCCGCTTCCAAGACCAGAGTAGGTTCTTTTCCCTTAACGAATTTATTGACTCTGTTTCTTTTGCTAACGATTTGTTTATTTTTCTGGTAGTTAACATTATAGAGGTGTTCAAAAGAACCCGTTGGAACCAGAACCGACGGGTACCCTAGGTTTGGTTTTGGTTTCTACCCAGAATCAGTCGTCAATGGGTAGGTTTCGGTTCCGGTTCCTATAGTTAGGAACCGGAATTGGAACCAGAAACCAGGAACCGAGACTAATATAAAATAAAATTAAAGATTAGGGGGTTTAATAAAAACTTTTATAGAAAAAATTAAAGTTTTTAAGGGTTTTTTTGCCATTTTAAAAGCTTTTGGGGGGTCATGTAATTTTATAGGGTACCCAGAATCGGAACGATAACTAGGAATCAGAACCGTCAGTTCTGGTTTCGGTTCCAGTTCCTTCAAAAAGTACAGGGTACCCAGAACCGAACATCCCTAGTTAACAAGACGACCAGTTTAGAGCTACTCGCGGACCCGAACAGAATCGTAGCTTTCTATTTCCTCCCCGCAGTGAGTCGCGACGCAAGGTTGCTCGTGGCAACCGCGAATCTGCGGAGATATGGTTTCTTCAACGTAGACACGACCTTAGAGCCCCCATCGAGTAAGTTGCGTTAACTGGGTTTTTCGATTGTGCAATGAACTATTTTTTACTAACGACGTTCACATGCAGCAACCATGCCTCCGAAGGTGCCAAGGTCGCCACGATGAAGGCAGTTTACTTTCCCTTGAGCGAGGACCGCTAGGATGACCGAAGCTGCTCCCAGTGGTCCCCTGACAGAAGGGGCAACATTGGGGGCTTCGGCGCGTCCTGCTGAGACTTTCCAACCTTTGACGGGTGCCCCGATCCGACCTACGGGCACTTTCTAGCCTTTGGCTGCTCGCTCGAAGCAAAAGACGACGGCCTAGTGATCCAAGAAGAGGCAAAAAATTCGG